CCAAAAAGGGGGGAACGGGCGAGGGGGTAGAGTTAGGTCGAGCCTGTCCCCCTACAGGCGGATTTTGGGCGAGAAATTAATACTCAAACAATACTCCCAAAACACAAAAACAAAGTCCCCAGACTATTTTTGGGGACTACTTCTGAGTATACCTCCTGTAGGAGGGACAGGCCCGACTTCAGGGTGGAAGCATGGGTGCCCTTGCCTACTCCGAGGTTCGGGTCGGGCGAAAGGGGGGATAGCAAAGGGGGGGGTGAGAATCAGCTCACATAGCTGATTTTCCCAGCGCCTCCCGGCGCCGGGAGGCGCCCATGTATCGAGGAATGGGCCAGGCGGCGGGGCCGAAACCAGCTGCATGCAGCAAACTTCTTAACCCCCCCTTTCCCAATCCCCACCTTTCGTCCGGCCCGAGACACGTGAGGGGGGCCGGAAGGGGGAGGGGGGACAACTGGCCAGGAATCGACGTAGGTCGACAATCGGCCAGAGGCTGCCGGAGCTGCTACCGCCACTGCCGCTGCACGCGTGCCAGACTCGGAGGAAGCTGAGCAACCGCCCCTGAAGCCTGCGCTTCGCACGCAAGCGACAGGCTAGCTCCTGAGACACAGCAAACAGCCAGCTGACCCTCTCGTCTGGCCCGAGAGGCGGGGCCTCCCGGCAGGAAGAAGATGCCCCAGCCGTCGCCCGCCGGGGTCTCCGGGTCCTCCGCCGGGGCCGGCAGGCCGTCCTGGCGGGGAGGGCGCCCCCCCGCGGCCCCAGCAGGCCCCCCCTCAATGGGGCCCCCGCCGCCGGCCTTAAGTCGGGCGTGTCCCCCTGCAGGGGGATTCTCGACGAAACATAAGACATACTCCAAATACACTCCAAAATGGTCAACAGACAATACTCAAAAAATAGTCCCCCGACTATTTCTGCCTATCTTTGAATGTTCCCAAAATAGAGGGACAGGCCCGACTTCACGCTAGCCCAGGCCGCGTGCTCCTCGCCCGGACGATCCCTCGGGCCGTGGAGAAGCGCCGAGACCGCCCGTGGCGGAGCGATCGCAACGTTAGGATCGCAAAGATCTGGCGATCCGCTCGAGGTCTCCTGGATGGGATCCGAGTGCATGGGGTGAAAGGACCGCGCCGCATCGCCCATGCATCGTCGATGCATCGCCGATGCATCGGCGATGCATCGGCGATGCAGCGCCCCACCGCCCCCGCCGCCCCGGGCCTCGCGCTCCTCCTGGACTGCCTCGCGTCCTGGAAAATCACAGCTGAAGAGGCTTGAGAATGATCGACCACCATGAGCCCTCGTCGGGCCCCGGGGCCGATCAGGAACGAATCGGAACGAAAGCCACGTCCAGGAGAAGAGGTCCAGACCTCCTCTGAGATCCGACGCTGTAGAAAAAGGTACTGCACCGCAGCAAATCGCAGACAGCCCTTGGCCCCATCCTCCTAAGTCATGCTCCGAGCGGGATCGAGATGCGCGAGGGCGCCCGTGGCGGGAAAAAGTACAACACCAAGATCGCAGGGCCTGTGGGGAAACCGAAAAGTACCGATACCGCTAATCCCCGCACCTCTCCCAAAGGTTCAGTCTGACAGTGAACCACAGAACCGAACCACGAACCACAGAACCGAACCGACCGAGGGAGAAACGACAGAACCGGAACCCGTCAGAAACCCGACGTGAACCGAAACCAAACCGAACCAGAGGCGGTGGAACCGAACCGGGCCCGAACCGGGAACCGAACCGGGCACCGGTCGTGGAGATGGGCCCTTGGGAACTGCCCGATGCGGGCGCACCTCTCCCGAGGGTGCGTTCTGACCAGGACTTCGAGGCGCATCCAGCGGTGGCGACCTGGGCCGCCCTGGAGGCCCAAGAGGTGCGGAACGGGCGAGGGGGCAGAGTTAGGTCGGGCCTGTCCCCCTACTGGCGGATTTTGGGCGAAAAATTAAAAACACCCCAAAAAATACTCCCAAAGTCCTGCACCTCTCCCGAGGGCGCGGTCTGACCAATCGGGGATCTTCTGACCCGGGTCAAACAGACCCGGGTCAACGGGAAACCAAAAACTGCAATGCAGGAAAAAAAAACTGCAACGCAGGTCTTCGCAAACCCGGGTCAGCCAATACGCGCGGCCGCCTCGCGGCCACGAGCGGCTCGCTAACCCGGGTCAGCCAGAGGGGGTCTTTGCAGGATCCTGCAGGATCTGGCGCTCTGGCTGACCCCCGTTTGCGCTGACCCCGTCTCGAGGCTCCCGAACCAAGACTGCGAGGCGCATCCGGCGGTGGCGACGAGGGCCTCCCAAGGAGGCCCCAAAACGAGGAAAACGGGCGAGGGGGCAGAGGCGTGGGCACCTCGGCCCTCCTCGTCCTCGTCCTCGTCCTCCTCCTCCTCCTCCTCCTCCTCCTCCTCCTCCTCCTGTTGCTCTCTCCTCTCTCCTCCTCCTCCTCCTCCTCCTCCTCCTCCTCCTGCTCCTGCTCCTCCTCTCCTCCTCCTCCTGCTCCTCCTCCTCCTGCTCTCTCTTCCTCCTCCTGCTCTCTCTCCCTCCTCCTCGGCCCTCCTCCTCGTCCTCGTCCTCCTCCTCCTCCTCCTCCTCCGCCTCCTCCTCCTCCTCCTCCTTCCTCGTCCTCGTCCTCGTCCTCGTCCTCCTCGTCCTCCTCGTCCTCCTCGTCCTCCTCCTCCTCCTCCTCCTCCTCCCTCCTCCGAGTCTGGTGGCCCACGGGAGCAACATCGAGACCTCGCAGGCCTGGGCTCCGCCCTCCGTCGCCGCTGGCGCTGGCGGCGCACGATGGGGGCGTGGCGCGCCGGCGGGGGGGGGGAGGGGCGGCCTTCCCTCGGGAGCGGCCAAAAAGGGGGGTCAAGACGGCCCAAGAGGCTCCCAAGAGGCTCCCGAAAGGCCGCCAAAACGGCCCAAGAGGGCCCCCAGACGGCCCAAGATGCGCCCAAGACGGCCCAAGAGGGCCCCAAGACGGCCCCCAGGGGGGGACCACGAACCGCAAAAGCGAGCCTATCGTCCCAAGACGTTCCTGGGAGGTCCCCACAGCCCCCCAAGAAGCCCCAAAAGGCCCCCAAGAGGCGTTCCAAGAGGGAGAGGAAAATCATGACCGGCGGCACGTGCGCGGCCCAGCGGGGGGGCCAGGGACGTGCTGGAACAAGAGGAGGCGCCATGAGATCTGGGGAAATATCATGGCCCCCGCCATGATATCCACCCCCCCCTAGTCATCACCCCCCTCTTTGCCGCCCCCGATTCCGCAACCCTTAGCCTTGTCTCGTTCCGGTAACGGCGATTGCCCGGGGAGGGCATCGGGGCCCCGGGGTAACGCCAACGCTTGGCAAGGTGGGGCACTCGGGTCGGGCGAAAGGGGGGGATAGCAAAGGGGGGGTTTGAGAATCAGCTCACGTAGCTGATTTTCCCGGCGCCTCCCGGCGCCGGAGGCGGCCATGATCGAGGAATGGGCCCCTCGGTGAGGCCGAAACCAGCTGCATGCAGCAAATTTCGTACCCCCCCCTTTCCCAATCCCCCCCTTTCGCCCGACCCGAATCGGGGCCCCAGGGTAAAGGCAACGCTTGGCAAGGTGGGGCACGTCGTGTGGTAGAGTGGGGGGGGGGCGCTGCGATGAGCACGGTGTGCGCGCAGACGCCCGCATGTGGGGCCCGGAGATCCGACGTCGTGATTTTTGTTCCATGCGCGGCCCACGGAAGCCTCGACCCGTTTCGGGTCGGGCGAAAGGGGGGGATAGCAAAGGGGGGGTTTGAGAATCAGCTCACGTAGCTGATTTTCCCGGCGCCGGGAGGCGGCCATGGATCGAGGAATGGGCCCCTCGAAGAGGCCGAAACCAGCTGCATGCAGCAAATTTCGTAACCCCCCCTTTCCCAATCCCCCCCTTTCGCCCGGCCCGACCGTTCCCCGGGACGGTTATTTTTAACTGAGCAATTGTTTTGCGGCCCTGGGGCCCGGCGAGGGCCCCTATAGAGGCCGAACCTTGAGGAGAACCTCCGTCTCGATATTTTCAAACGTTGGATCTCCTGGGGGGGTCCAAGCCCCTCCCCCTCTACCTTCGATATTGTTACCGCTACCCTGGTGGGGAAAGGCCTGGCCCGGGTATAACGGCCGCTTCTCGCCCGAGGATGCAGTGCGGGCACGGCCGCAGGAGACCCTCGCAAAGAAATCCAGCCGTGGATCATCCGCCCGCGAGGTGCACACAGGGGGAAGCGCCGAGCACACTGAACGTCCGCAGGAAGTCACCGCGCAGCGCGCGGAGCGAAGAAGATCAGGGTTACCCTGACGAGCAACATCTGGCTGCTTGATGAGCGTCCCCACCGCACAACAAAAGCACCCAGGAGGGCGGGGGGGGGCCTAATCTGCAAGAAGAGAAGAAAAGCATAAACATAAATGTTTGGCGTTCCGCACGGATTTCTTGGATCCACGCCGGGCCCCCCTCCCTGGCGCGTGGAGCGCGCCAGGGGCGGCACCGGAGGGGCGGCGCCGGAGGCGCCGCTGGGGGGGCCCAGCGCGGATCCAAGAAATCCGCGCGGAGTGCCAAAAGTTCATGCTGATGTCGCTGTTTCTTCTCGGACTTACGCCGAAGCACGTGTGCTGTCGGACGTCTGCGAGTCCAAGCACCCTGCGAGCACAGGACTCCGAGCGGAGCGCCCATAATTTCTGCGTGTGCCGTTTTTGTTTTTGTCTTCTCCTCGCAGAGAGCCGTCGGGCCCTCCCGAGGAGGCCCCACAGACACGGGGCCCCCCGAGGGCGCCACCGGCCGCACGGATTGGCCCGGGCGGAGCGGGCTGCTGGGCCCCGGTGTCGCGAGGAGGGGGCGCGCGGGGGGTCGATTGAAGGGGCCCGCAAACATACAAATAAATACACACAAACAAAATGATTCCCCATATTTTCCTATATTTTCTCGGTTTCTGTTTTCCCGTCCACTTCCAGTATTTTCCCATATGTTCTGGGGGATCGACGATTAATTGTGTCTGTGTGTTTTTTCCCCTCCTGATCGATGGCTTCCTGGAGGCCTCCCAGGTGGGGTCCGAGCACGGCCAGCCCGTATCAGAAGGATGCGCGCCAGGACTGACTGAACCTAAGCGTTGGGTTTCGGTTTCGGTGAGTTTCCATGTCCGTTTTGCTCTGCGAGTCTTCCTGGGCCTCCCCGCCAAGACGAAACACGAAACACAACCGAATTCCAGCAAAGCAGGGTTCAAGTCCAACCCTGATGCGCGGTAAGGATGCAAGGGCCTTGGCGAGCCAGGCTAACGTTTCCCGAACGGGGCTGTCCAGCGAAAATTGCCAGGGAAGGGCCGAAGGGGCAAGAATGCACAAGGGTAACTACCACCTGCAAATATCCCCCCCCTGGGGATAATAACATTCGGGGTCCAGGAGAGATAGTGAACGTGTTCCCGGAGATCGCAGCATAATGATGAAGATGATGACGATACTGATGATCAAGATGATCCTGAACGTTCATAAGAATCCTTAAGCAGTCCATAGGAATTCCTTTCGGAAATCCATTGGATTCCTTCGGAAATCCTTAGGGTTCCTTAGGACATCCATAGGATTCCTGCGGAAGTCCTTCGGATTCCTTTGGAAATGCATCAGATTCCTTAGGACTTCACAGGAAATCCATACTATTCCTAAGGACATCCATGGGATTCCTTAGGACATCCATCGGAATCCATAGGTCCATAGGATATCCATCGGATTCACTAGGACATCCATGGGATTCCTGAAGAAAACAATCTGAATCCTTAGGATTCCGTGCTAGTCAACATACAACACATCGGTTCGCAACTTTTTTCTACGCGATGATCAAGTTCGGCCTTGCCGCCTCTCTTCCCTGACCAAACCTGAATGGGCCCAGGCTGCTCAACTCTCAGGTGGTAAGGGGGGTGAAGATTATCCCGTCGTGGGGGGTACCCTGAGGAAAATTGCCCATCCTTACTATACGGGCTTACTATACGGGTTGACTGCAGATGGGGTCGGAGGATCGCGCCGCATCGTCTATGCATCGCAGATTCATCGGCGATGCATCGGCGATGCATCTGCGACGCATCGGCGACGCATCGGCGACGTCGGTGATGCATCGGCGACGCCAGCGTGAAGAAGATCGGGCTCCACATCGAGCCGCATCGCCAATGCATCGGCGATGCGGCCCCAACCCCAGACACCATCTACTCGGATCCGATCTGAGAGACCTATCGCCTATCCCCTCCTCACGCTGGCCCTGATGCCAACTTGTGGGTCGAGGACATCGAAGCCTTGGACGTTTTGAGTCGTCTTCGGGCCTGCGATGAAGCCTTCGGCCCATCGTCGTTGTCGTCGTCGGCGCCGTCCTCGGAAGGCGCCGTCGCAGGTCCGTCTTCCTCCTCCTCCTCCTCCTCCTCCTGCATGGCCTCTCCTCCCTACTGCCTGCTCTGGACCCTCAAGACACCCCTGGAGCCCTGAGGCCTTCAAGGGCCGTCGGAGGAAGTGTCCAGGCAGAACAGAACTCCAGGGGGGATTCGGGGTCCCCGCAGGAACCAAAGGGGTCGGCGGATGTGGAGCAGGCCTGAATGATCACGGGAGCCTCCCATGCCATCTGGCTGGCTGTGCGACTCGGCGCTACGTCGCGCTCATCGACGCTGAACCAGCGCTTTCCCACCGACTCCCAGACGCTACAGTCGGGGCCTGGACCTAAGGAGCCCAAAATAAGGAACGAGGCCCCTTTTCTCCAGAAGTTAAGCTTCGATCCCCGATCGAAAACATAAGGACAACCTGAGGCGAGCTGCGAAACACTGAAGGAACGCGGAGCCCCTCCCCAACGAATAGGGTTCCTTCTTCAGGGCCCCGACGCTAATCGACGCGAGCGTTTGGGCCCGGGCGCCTGGTGCGGGCGCCCGTGCCCGTTCTTCCGTGCATCTGCCCAGCCTCGCCCACCCACGACGCGCGTGCACGGCGATGCCCTGCGCCGACGCCGCCGCGCGCGCATTTTCACGCGGAGGTTCCGACGGCACCCGAAAGACGGAGCTGGGAAAAGAAAAAACGCCATAAACGTACACGTTCGGCGCTCCGCCCGGATTTTCTTAGGGGGGAAACAAACCTACCTCGCTTTTGACCACCCTCGCTTCCAAGAAATACTAAACGATGCCAAATTGCAGCCTGTACTGGTCAGGCCGCTTGACGAGGAGGCGCGTGGTATGGCTTTGTTTTGCCTGGAAGCGAAAGCGGGGTAGGTAATTCACGCTCTGATTTTTGGATCTGCGCTGGACCCCCCTTCCCTGGCGCGCAGCCAGGGGCGGCGCCTGGAGGGGCCCTGCGCGTGTCCAAGAACTTCGCGCGGAGCCCCAGCATTCTATGTTCATGACGTCTCTTGAGGAACTGAGGGGGCACACAGAGGGCTCCCGCGCTCTGCTACCGACCCCCCCCCCCGACAACCGAGCACCCCTCCCTGCGCAGCGGGGGGCCGCTTTTGGCGCCGGGGGGCGCGCCCGCCCCCCCGGGTGTCCAGCTTCTCCCGCCCCGGCGGCGGCGCCGTGCACGGGGGCAGCAGGTTGGGCAGCCAAGGCCTGGGCGCCGGCGGGGATAGGGAGACCCAAAAGGCACCGATACCGCTGCTCACCGGACCTTTCCCGGAATGCGAATTCTGACCATGAAAGATGTCGACGCGGATCCGGCGGTGGCGACGAGGGCGTCCCGGGAGGCCCAAAGAGGGGAAAATGAGGGAAGGGTAGCGGTATGAGTACCTTTTCCTCCTCTGAGGGGAGGGGGGAAGGAGGAGGAGAAGGAGGAGGAGGAGGAGGAGGAGGAGGAGGAGGGAGGAGGGAGGAGGCGGAGGAGGGGGAGGAGGATGAGGAAGAGGAGGAGGATGAGGAAGAGGAGGAGGAGGAGGAGGACGAGGAAGAGGAGGAGGAGGAGAAGGCGGAGGAGGAGGAGGAGGAGGAGGAGGAGAAGGAGGAGGAGGAGGAGGAGGAGGAGGAGAAGGCGGAGGCGGAGGCGGAGGAGGAGGAGGAGGAGGAGTAGGAGGAGGAGAAGGCGGAGGCGGAGGCGGAGGCGGAGGAGGAGGAGGAGGAGAGGCCCCCTCCGAAGCCTTTTTGAGCGAGAGTGAAAGAGGGGAGAGCGGGCGGAGAGAGGAGCGGGGAGCGGGGCGCGGGGCGTGCTCGGCGGCCCCCGCTACACTGCCACCCTGCCACGGGCGGTGGCTGCTGCCGCAGCCGAAGCCCCGCTGAAGGGGGCCAAGACTCCCGTGCTCCCGCCGCGGCTGCCGCGGCTCGCTGCACGGGCCTGAGCATGTGCCATGACTTCCAGCTTAGGTGCGTTGAGGTCGGGCATGTCCTCCTACAGGCGGATTTGTATGACAAATTAGACGATGCCGGAGAAACAAAAAAACAGCAATAATCTTTTTAGGGCTATAGGGCTATCGGGGAATAGGGCTATAGGGCTATAGGGCTATAGTCCTATAGGGCTATAGGACTGTAGAGCTGAAGGGTATGGGGTTACAGAGCTGTAGGGCTGTAGGGCTATAAGGCTATAAGGCTACAGGGCGATTGGGCTATAGGGCAATGAGGGCTATAGGGCACTGAGGGCAATGAAGGCTACAGGGCTATAGGGCTATATAACTATAGGGCTATAGGGCTTTAGGGCTACAGGGCTATAAGGCGATAGAGCACCCAAGCACCCGGGCAGGCACCCGGACACCCCGGGCACCTCCGGGCACCCCCAAGCACCTCCGGGAACCCCCGGTCACCCGGGCAAGGCACCCGGGCAGCACCCCGGGGCACCCGGCCAGGCACCCGGCCAGGCACCCCCAGGCACCCGGTCCGACCACCGAAATCGGCGACGAACCGCTAGGAACCCTTCAGAGGCAAGCTCTGATTGGGGAAAAGAATTGAAAGATTCATCAAAAATCCGCCGACCCCGTCGGCGTGTGGACCCCCGGTCGGCGTGCACTCAGTCGACGCATCCGTTGTCCCCTTTCCCTGCGTCTCCGTCGTCCCCTTTCTTAGCACCCTCCTCTTCAAACCTGCCAGCGAGAGAAAACCGCAGCAGCGTCGTACATAAGTCGAAAGGAAGTCCCGTCCCTTTGAGCCTTCCCCCGCCGAAGATGGGGGGGTCCAGTGGGGGATCCAAGGGAGGTCCCGGGGGGGGGGGGGGGGGGCGGGTCGGATACGCATCCGCCCCTGGGCGTCCCGGAGCCCCAAAAAGCGCCAGGACGCGCCAAGAAGGCCCCAAGCAGGCCCAAGAAGAGGACCACGAACCGAGATTTCGAGTGTGCCGCCCCGAGAAGCCCACGGAAGGCCCCAAGAGCCCCTCAAGGGGCCCGAAGAGGCCCCGACCCCCAGGAGGCCCAAAAGAGGCCCCAACAGGCCGGAAAACATCCAAGAGGTCTTTCAACCACAATCCCAGCACGGTGGCGGGAAGGGCCGCAGGCCACAAGGCTCCCTGTCTGTCTCTGCTACGACTCCGTCGACCCACATGGGGAACATCTCTTTCGCCTTCTCCTGCTCCTTTTCACCTTGATCCCCCTCCTCCTCCTCCTCCTCTTCATCCTCCTCCTCGTATTCGTCGTCGTCTTCAGGGTCGGCGGCACCGGCCGTAGGGCCCTAGCAATAACCAAAACAAAAATTAAAATCGCATCCAGACGAAAATGTGATTACTGTTTTACAGTTCTTCCTGTAGATGGACATGCCCGATTCACGGGCACCGATGGGCCGCAGCGCAGTATGGCGGGCCGTAGGTGGGGTGCTGTCGTTTGCGTTCTTGTCGAAGCTGCCCACGTCCCCTCGTGCTCAAAATCTCGCCTGGCCGGCGGACCGCAGCCCCTGACCCCTGACCCAGACCGCAGGGGGAAACAGGCCGCCGATTTGGAGGCCCGAAATGGGTACGGAAAACGTGGATACCATGCCCAACAGCAAATGTTGCCCCAAACCAGCAGCGGCCGATGTTGGGCAGGCGGCCTTCTGTCTCGAATGGACACACGCCGCGGAGGCGTGGAGAGCGAATCCTGTGCAAAATGAACCAGAACTGCTGTGGGGCATTGTACCCATTCTTTCGTACACCCTGCGAAATGCTTAAGAAATCATGGGTTAAGAAATTCAGAGTCTCAGCACTGGAACAAAAACCCAGAACTCCTATCAAAATCTTGGGATTTACATTGAAAAGTTAAGAATAATCGAGACTCTGGCCGAAAACTTAGGTTTTCTTAAGCATCGCCTAAGGTGTACCCATGTCGGGCGCCCGGATCCGATGGCCGCCCCCGACCGCCTCCGAGGGCCGGCGCTTTTGCAGGGCGACGGCGCTGCAGTGCAGAACTGCCTGCTGCCATCGACGGCTCCACACCTCCACGGCTTTGGGCACTGGCAGTGAGAGACCTGCGAGCACGACTCGGGCATCCTACACCTCTGAGGAGGTGAATCTGAGCGAGGAGGGGGAGGAGGGGGAGGCGTAGGAGGGGGAGGAGGGGAGGAGGGGAGGAGTGGGAGGAGGCAAGCTAGGTGCGCTCGCGTCGTATCTGGCGTCCTACCCCTCCCTCCCATCCCTTACCATGGCGCTGATTTTCTCTATCCGCGGACGCGTGTCGTAGCGGACCTGTGGCTTCGCGCGCGCGTGCGTAGTGGGTGGTGGTGCGCGTGCGTGCGTGCGTGCGTGTGAGCGTGGTTGTGGTGGTGGGTGGTGTGGTGGGTGGTGGTGGTGGTGGTGGTGGTGGTGGTGGTGGTGGTGGTGGTGGTGGTGCGGCGCGGTGGTGGCGGGCGGATGGGCGCGCGAGAAAGAGGCCCGCGCTGGGGCGAGAACGCCATCCTGAACGACGGAGGCCAAACACCGATCCGAAAATGAGGCCCACGCTGCAGCGGGAGCACGATTCGGAACGATTCGGGAGCAGAAATGAGGCCGGCGCCTCAGCGAGAGCAGTGAAAAAAAACGCAGGCGAAAATCCAACTCCCGGGAATCCTGTGTATAAAAAACAGTACGCGGGGGGGGTCTAATACTTTCAGGCCGCCATCGGGGGAAGAGGGAGAGTAGTATTCATATTGAGAAATTGTGGAGTAGGGGGAGGAGAGGGAGGCGGAGGAGGGGGGCTCGTTGAGGGCTCAACGAGATCTACCGCCCCTCGATTCGCGCTGCAGCGGAGACCTTTGCTCCATACTTCCCTCGAGATCTCTGGAGGTTCGATTGGCCAATGTAGTTACCTGGATGTTACTTGGCCAATGTACATTTACCTTGATTTTATCGGGCTCGATCCCCACAAATCGTTTGGCGAAAGGTCGTCAAGCCTTTCAGGGGGGTGGGAAGGAAGAGAACCGCGTCCTCGATGAGCACGGGTCAGGTGGTGGTCGCGAGAACGAAGCCCGCATGCACCACAACCAGCGGTAAGGGTGACCCGTCACCCGAGTGAGAGGAATGCGAACGAGATTCAGCATCCCGCAGTGGCAAATGACATGCGGGGCGCAGGCGGGGAGGGAATAGAGGGAATCCGCACGGATGGTAACTCACGCCGTCATCATAGGTACTGAAGTAATCGATGTTTGAAAGGAGAAAAACCGCAATTAACAGAAACTGTTGGCGCTCCGCGCGAATTTCTTGGATCTGCGCCGAACCCCCGCCAGAGGCGCCGACAGGGGGGACCCAGCGCGGATACAAGAAATCCGCGCGAAGCGCCAACATATTATGTTTATAGCGTCTACTTTCTTTGTCGAGTCATGATAGGTACTGAGGAGATGTTGCCTCCCTTAAGGCTTACTTTTCCCCGCGCCTGCTGGGCCCACGTCCAGGGCGCCAGGGCCAAACATCAAAAGGCCGCCCCCCTCCAGCCCCCAGACGTTTCCCCGCGTCTGCTGGGCCAACGTCTAGGGCGCCACCCTCCCGCCCTAGGCGTTACCCCACGCCTGCTTATCGCTGGCCTCAACTCATGGGAGCCTTCTGTACCACCTTGTTGGCCTTTGCAAGTCAGCGCCAATCGACGCTGAATCGACGGCAAATCGGGCGTCGATTGATCGGGGGTGGAAACACGTGCACTTCTCGTACCCGAAGGGCCCCCTCTTGGGCCCCAAAGGGGCACTTCTCTGCAGCCCTCACCGCCCCCCCCCAATGTATCCCCCCCATGACGCGACGCCCAAAGGGTGCGGGGTCCTTTGCCTCCGGCGTTCCCGGGGGTGCCCGGGCAGTGCCAAGCAACGCCGACGAACGCCAAGCACCAAACCCGAGCGTCGCCAAGCAACGCCTAGACGTGCCAAGCCGTGCCAAGCAATGCCAAGCAACGCCAAGGAATGCCAAGCACCTCCAAACAATGCCCAACAATACCAAGCACTGCAAAAAACGCCAAGCACTGCTTTCCCCGAGGCTTGGGGTTGCGATGCCCAGAACCCGCCGTCCTACCGAAGCTCTGCGTGCGAAAAACTACCGCCGTTGCCCCGTCGACGGCGGCCTGTGTATGTTCTGCTTCCCGAGCTGCTGGCGGATGATCCGCCTGCACTTGGGCAGCAGGGTCTCGAGGTGAAACTTGGCGCCGAGGTGGTACAACTCGAGCACCGCCGCGAAGCTCGACAACGACCTCTCCGGAACTCTGTCATTTCCCTTAGGAGGCAACTTCTTGTAGACCTTCGTAAGAACAACTAAGGGCTGCTAAGCCCGATTAAACTGGCCATTCAGCCAAATTAGGCAGGCCCCAGCGAAGGATATAGATGGATATAGCCAAATCAAGCGGGACCAAGCAAGTTCATGCCGTACTGGGCCAATTTCCGACCACGTAAAAACCAGCGCCGATACTCAGATTGACCTCACAGGAGCTGCATCCGGACTTCCTCCCCATCAGCACTCCCAGGAGCGCCAGTCTCCGACACAACGGCGTGGCAGCCTGGTCGGGGGACCCGGGTGTACAGGGAGGTCTCCAGGAACCCCTCGACGCATCCAGATGTACCCCGACGGCCTCCAGGGGCACAAGAGGAGCCAGCAAGGCCATCACACTTTGATCCTCGGACAAGTAGGCGGCGAGCGAAGGGGGGGGAAGTGAGAAGGAGAGTACCTCCTCAGAAGGCGGCGGGACTTCTCGGAAGCCCTCGCGCCTTCCAAGAGGCCTAGAGCACTTCCGAGAGAAGGCTTAGAAATCTCCGAAGGCCTGGAGACTTCCGAGCCTTCTGAGACGGCCCGCCTCTTCTCACTTCCCCCCCCAATCGCTCGCCGTCGAGCGGTGGCAGGGGCGAAGAGAGGCACAGTTAGAGGAGGAAGGCGACAAGGGCCTCCTGGGCGGCGCCTCTCCCCCCCCTCCACACCCCCCCGCCGCCCACCCTGGGCGCGTAGACATCCGAGCCTGCAGGCAGGAAATACGGCCGTCGTGTGGGGGGGAGAAAATCCACTGGGAGGGAGAGGAGGGAGGAAGCGGGAGACGAAAAGGGGGGAAGGGGGACAAAGAGGGAGGACAAGCCAACCGGATGGGGGGGGGCTGCTCATGAGAAGGCATCTAACATGACTGCGCGACTCTTCCGCGAACGGCATTTCTATGTGAAAAGGTGAAGGGAGGGAGGTCTCGAGAGGGCGAAGTGAGAAGCGAAAGGGGGATGATCGTGAGTAAGGAGCGGCATGACTACTGAAGAATGGGAGTGAGGAACAGGAGGGAGTGACGATGCGGGAAAAAAGCGCCGCCATGACACAATCACAGAGGAGGGTGGAGGCAGGGAGAGAGGAGGCCACCGAGGGGACGAGGGAGAGAGCACAAGGAGGGTAGGGTGCAGGAGGGAAAAGAAGGGAGGGAGAGGGGCGGAAGGAGATTCGCCTGCACCCTGTCGGCGGCGAGCGACGGGGGGGAAGTGAGAAGGAGAAGGCCTCTCAGAAGGCTCGGCAGTCCCCCGGCCTTCTGAGAAGTGTTCGAGGCCTTCCCCGGAAGGAACCTCTCAGAAGGCGCGCGGGCTTCTGAGAAGTCCCGCCGCCTCCTGAGGAGGCCTTCCCCTTCTCATGTCCCCCCCCCCCGCGCCGCCGAGTTTGGCCGATCTTCGGGCCGGGCGAAAGGGGGGACAGCAAAGGGGGTGTTTGAGGATCAACTCGCGTGGCTGATTTTCCTGGCGCCTCTCGGCGCCGGAGGCGACCATGTATCGAGGAATGGGCCCCTCGGTGGGGCCGAAACCAGCTGCATGCAACAAATTTCGTAACCCCCCCTTTTCGGGGATCTTCTGACCCGGGTCAATCCAGACCCGGGTCAGCAGGAAACCAAAAACTGCAATGCAAGAACAACAAAAACTGCAACGCAAATCTTCGCAAACCCGGGTCAGCCACTGCGCGCGGCCGCCTCGCGGCCACGAGCGGCTCGCTCACCCCTGGTCAGCCAGAGGGGGTCTTCGCAGGATCCTGCAGGATCCGGTGCACTGGCTGACCCCCGTTGGCGTTGCCCCCCGTCTCCAGGCACAACACAAAAAAAACTCTCAGCAAGGGCTCCCAGCTTCGCGCTTCGCGCTGCGCGAAGCGCGAAGTGCGAATAACTTCGCGCTCTCGCGCCGCCTCCCAGGGGAGAAGAGGAGGAAGAGGAGGAATCGAAGCCGAACCGCGAAGCGCGAAGCGCGAATAACTTCGCGCCCTCGAGGGCGCCCTTGTCTCAGGAAGCGCGAGGGAGCTTCTGAGAGGTCCTGCCGCCTCGTGATGAGGGCCGTCTCCTGCTCACTTCCCCCCCCCGCTCGCCGCCGAGAGGAGCCCCGTGAACGCCCGGCCAGTGCCCCCTTTCTCAATCCCCATCTGCACCGCGTGCGCCCCGCTCCGGCGCACTCCGGGCGAGGAGGAGGAGGAGGAGGAGGAGGAGGAGGAGCAGGAGGAGGAGGGGAAGGAGGAGACTTGCGGCTTGCGGCTGCCGAGGCGCAGGTCTGTGACTAGCGCCGAGCAGTGAAGAGGGCCAGGGGAGAAGGCCTGGCGACAGGGGGCGCTACGCGCCCCGAAGACTGGCCTCCAGCGTTGTGGAGAATGAGCAGGAGGCCAACTCTGGTTCAATCAGAGTCCGAAGCAGGCTCCGACGGTGCCTGAGACAAAACCGTGCTCGCAGCATTCGCTCGGGCCTCGAGCGTGGCTGCCGAAGGTGGGCAAGGACGTGGTGCACGACGGGACGACGTCTCGACACGACCACCACAGTGTCTTTGCTCCATACTATCCTGGTTGGCCGAACACGCAGAGCTAGCCCTAGGTCCAGAAGCCTCGGAAGACGGGAAACAAACGGCACCAGGCTCCGAACCAGAAACAAGGGCGCCATCCCACGGACCCAAATCTTCGCCCGTCTTGGGGTGGCAACCTACCTCTGCGTGTCGCCAGTACATTCGGTGATTCTGAATCGTGCTGGCAACCTTGGCCTCCCCTTCGCACACTCTACTCAGCTTGCGGCATTTGCCGTCGGGGAGGATCCAGTATCCAGCACACCTCTGACAAATGATCACCCTACCGTGGCGGACGGGCCTGTGGCCCAGAGCAGCGATGGCGTTCAACCCAGCCCCCAACGCGGCTTCGGGCACGGAAGGAGAGGAGGGGTCCTGGCCCAGCGAGGGAGGAACAGGATCTGACACCGCGGGGCTGCTCGCAGTGTGGAGGCGCGCCTGGGGTTCGGCAGAGAAAATGATGTCGGCGCGGCAGCGCTCCAGATCACTGCCCTTGCACCTCCTAGCAGCCCCACTGCACATCACACGCAGTGTGGCTTCACTCCTGGCTGACATATTGCACTTCCTGCAACGCCATTCAGCACGAGTCGGCAGGCGATAAATCTCGTGCTCCACGAGTGTCAAATTGATTCGCTCCACGTGCTGACTAACGGGGGTCATTGGGGGCTCAAACGCCTCGGAGTACTCCCCAATGATTTGAACCACGCGCGCCAAGAAACCCCAGGTGGCTTTGCTGGCCTTCAAATGGGCCTTCTCCGCGTCCAGACAAACCTGCGCGTACTGATGATCCTGGGCTCCAAGGCGCGCAAAAAAATCGGCCCAAGAGTTACCCAAGAAGCGGGTGATCTGTCCTTGCTCCAGAGACATGACCTCGTCAATGTCTCTGTGGGCAGGGACCCATTCAAACTCAGGCGGTGGCCTATGTTGCTCGAAGAGCTGGAAGATACGACGCCACACATCCGCGTGTCGGGACAACCCGCAGGCAAGCTGGGGACTCCAGCTCTGGCCTTCCTGCACAAAGGCTAAATGATCACTATATATTGTGGTCGCCTGGGGGGCTACCGAGAGAGCCATCAAGCCCGCGTACCGCTCCGCACGGGGCACCGATTGGCGCCCAGGGAGCGGCCCAAACACCGCCCTCAAGGGCAGCCCAGAGTCCGACAGCTCCACCGCGGCCCATCCACACCTACGCAGTTCAGGGCTCGCGTTCGCGAGCCCCGAGCCGTCAGTGTAGATCCGCCGACCCCAGGGAAGATGCGTAGCCCCCCAGTGGAACACAGGGCACTGCGTGGGTTGGGGCGCAAGCTTGATGGGATGGTAAGGCAACCCGCACAGCTCCAGAGAATCCCACTCTGGGTCGCCAAGCCCATTGTCCCCAAGACCCCGCAGATACGCCCTGCGCTCCAAGACCTCCTCTGAAAGGGATTCAACAGGCAGCTCCTCAGGTGGGTGAAGGACCCCTTCACAGTTGTACAACTGGTGCCCTAACGTGCCAGCCTCAGAACTCTCACACATCTCGCACTGGTGGCTGTCAGAGATCCCAAGAGCCTTCTTTCTCGCTGGGGGCCACAATGCGGAGCCGAGCAATCTGCGGGCGCAGCCTCTATGTATCGGATTCTTCAAGCTGAGAACTGAGTTGCGAAGTGCACGCCTCCAGACTCCATGAGGATTCCCAACTATGGGTTGCATGTGGCTGACAATGCGAAGCATCTGCCATCGTCCAATACTCTGTCGCAGCAACAGCTTCACATCCCACGGCGTAGTGGTAAGGAGGTTCACGAGGGTGCCCTGATCGTCGTATAGCATATGTGCCGACGCCATCTTCCAGTCTACCCTGTGCAGGCTGAGCGAAGCCGCCGAGAGCGGCCCATTACATCTGGCCCACGTGAATTCACCATTCCAAGATTCCATCATGGCAGCCCACGCCCGCTGTAACTGACTGAGTGGTACCAATCCATCCCAAACTGTGATAGCATATCTGCAGACTAGCTCGGTCGTGACGTCGAATATCGGGTCAAACCATTCATCGCTCTGAGTGGCAAGCCAAGCCGTAAGACTGGCGTGTGATTTGGCTCCCACCAGCGAGCCTGCCAGTGTGCGGAGCTTTGCCAGCGTGGCAGGGACGACTCCGCTAGCTCCAGCTCCATGTGCAGCAGCGGGCAACAGGCCCGTGCGCCACAGAGTGTGAACCTGGGCTCGTCCCCGTTGCAACGCCGCCAACTTGCCCCTCCTGGCCAGGACGCCCATGACACGCTTTCTCTCTTGAATACGTCTGAGTCGCACCCCCGCAAGCTCGTGTCCTAGATTGCGCATGTGCTTGTGGCAGCGAAACCGAATGAGTCCACCAAGCTTCTTCGCCACTCGCGTCGCCTCAGTAGTGCCACCCACGCAACCACTTTTGTCCACCTGAATGATGAGACCCAGTGGC